AAGGGGAGGGCCAGGAGGGAAAGGGGAAGGAGGAGAGGGGCCGGTGAGCGATGGGGGGGGAACGGGGGGAACGACGGGAATAACGGGAATAACAGGAATAACGGGAACAACGGGAATAATGGGAATAAGGAGAAGGACGGGAATAATGGGAATAAGGGGAATAAGGGGAATAAGGGGAAGGACGGGAATAATGGGAATAAGGGGAATAATGGGAATGACCGGAATGAAGGGAATAAGGGGAATGATGGGAACAACGGGAATAACGGGAATAAGGGGAATGAGAGGAATAATGGGAACAACGGGAATAAGGGGAATAACGGGAATAATGGGAATAATGGGAATAACGGGAATAATGGGAATAACGGGAACAACAGGAACAATGCAAATAGTGGGAATAAGGGGAATAATGGGAACGACGGGAATAATGGGAATAACGGGAATAATGGTAACAACGGGAATAATAGGAATAATGGGAATAATGGGAGAGGTTGGGATGGGGAAATGCAGGGGGAGAAAATGTGGAGATACCGAAAGATGGAGAGATCAAATGTTGGGATATCAGATATGGGGATATAAAATATTGGGATATCAAATACTGGGATATTAAACTATTGAAAACCAAAATATTGGGATATTAAATATTGGGATATTGAACTATTGAAATCTATTGGGATATCAAATATTCGGGTATAAAAATAATCAGAAATTAAAATTTTCCGATCTAAAATACTGAGGTAGGAAAAGATTTAACGGAGAAATTTGAAGTTGGAAAAAGATTCAAAGATGGAAAGAGAAAAACAAGATTTGGGTGGGGAAAAATGGGGTAGAAAAAGATTCCCATTGAAAAATGTTGAAATATTAAAAAATTCAGATCTGGGAATATTGAAATGGGAAAAAAAATTAAAATCTAAAAATTCCAATTTGAAAATTCGGAGGTTTTAAAAAAAAATCAAATCTAAAAATTAGGAGAGATCTAAAAATTCTGATCTAAAAAAATTCCTGAGAGAAAAAGATCCAAAAGGAAAAATCTCCGGTGAAAATCGTTCCTCTGGGAAATATTCAGCTATCAAATTCCCAATGGATTCACAATTAGATATTGATGCAAAAAGATTCAAATTCCCCAAAAATTCAGAATCCCAAAATATGCAGATATTAAAAAATTGAGGTGGAAAATTTTTCACATTAAAACCTGAAATTTTAAAAATTTCAGAGAGTGAAAAATTGAGGTTGAAAAAGTCAGGAATTTCAAAAATTCAGATTTCAAAATATTCAAATATTGAAAAATTGCGATGGAAATTTGTCAAATATTAAGAATTTGAGATAATTTTCAGAAATAGAAAAAAATCAGCTCTGAAAAGATCCAGAGATTGAAGAATTGGGATATAAAATCATTCCCATAGGAAAAACTCCAGATCCAAACTTACCTGGATATTCCCAAAGGCCAATATTAAGAATTCAGCCAAAAAATCAAATCCCAAACCCAAAATAGGGAAAGATCCCAACATTGAACCCTGCACCTGGAATCTCGGGTAGGAATAAAATGAGTCTGGAATTTCATGGAATAAAATGGTTCAGGAATTTCATGGAATAAAATCGGGAAAGGGACTGGTGCGGTGGTGCCTGGGGTGGGGGGGGAGCCCTTCCCAAGGGATTCAACCCAGTGTGTGGAGGAGGCTGAGGATGGGAATAGGGATGAGGAAGTGAATGGGGATGGGAATGGGGATGAGGAATGGAATGGGGATGGGAATGGGGATGAGGAATGGAATGGGGATGGGAATGGAGATGAGGAAGGGAATGGGGATGGGAATGGGGATGGGGAACGGAATGGGGATGGGAATAGGGAATGGAATGGGGATGGGAATGGGGATGAGGACTGGAATAGGGATGGGAATGGGGATGAGGAATGGAATGGGGATGGGAATAGGGATAAGGAATGGAATGGGGATGGGAATGGAGATGAGGAATGGAATGGGGATGGGAATGGAGATGAGGAAGGGAATGGGGATGGGAATGGGGATGAGGAAGGGAATGGGGATGGGAATGGGGATGAGGACTGGAATAGGGATAAGGAATGGAATGGGGATGGGAATGGAGATGAGGAATGGAATGGGGATGAGGAATGGGGATGGGTAAGGGAATGGGGATGGGAATAGGGAATGGCATGGGGATGGGAATGGGGATGAGGCCTGGAATAGGGATGGGAATGGGGATGAGGAATGGAATGGGGATGGGAATGGAGATGAGGAAGGGAATGGGGATGGGAATGGGGATGAGGAAGGGAATGGGGATGGGAATGGGGATGAGGACTGGAATAGGGATAAGGAATGGAATGGGGATGGGAATGGAGATGAGGAATGGAATGGGGAAGGGAATGGGGATGGGAATGGGGATGAGGAATGAAATGGGGATGGGGAAGGGAATGGGGATGGGAATAGGGAATGGAATGGGGATGTGAATGGGGATGAGGACTGGAATAGGGATGGGAATGGAGATGAGGAATGGAATGGGGATGAGGAATGGGGATGGGTAAGGGAATGGGGATGGGAATAGGGAATGGCATGGGGATGGGAATGGGGATGAGGCCTGGAATAGGGATGGGAATGGGGATGAGGAATGGAATGGGGATGGGAATGGGGCCAGAGCCTCCTCCTGCTGCTTCCCTTTGTCTGGGCCTTGCTCCCACATTGTGTCTCCATTGCAGTTGTCTCCCATCAGCTCCTTCCTCTTCCTCCTCTTCCTCTTCCTCCCAGTGGGATAGGGGTGTGGGGGGTGTGGGTACCAGGGGGATTTGCCCCCCCCCCCCCCCCATGGGGTTGGTTTTCCTGGCTTTGGGAAGCAGGATCCCACCCGCTCCCATCACCCCCCAATGGCCCCATTACTCCCATCACCTCCATCCCCCCCAACTCTCATCCCAAGCCCTCAAATCCCTTCCCAAATCCCAAATTCCCTTCCCAAACTCCTTTTCCCAGGCCCAAAATCCCATTTCCCCCCCCCAAATTCCCATCACCAGTCCCAAATTCCCTTCCCAAGCCCTACATTCCCTTTCCCAATTCCCAAATCCCTTCCCAAGCCTCTCATTCCCTTCCCAAACCCCTTTCCCCAGGCCCCAAATCCCATTTCCAACCCCAAATTCCCATCTCCAGCCCCAAACTCCCCCCCCATGGAGGACCCATCCCAGCTCCCATGGCCACTACCCCCTCCCAGGGATGCTAGCAGCACCCTGGGCTTAGTTTTTCCCTTCTAAAAGGCCTTTTCCCCTTGGAAAAGGGCATTTTCCCCCACAAATGCCCCCTTTCCCCCTAAAAGGGGTCTTTTCCCTTCTAGAAAGGTAATTCCCCCCAGGAAAGGGGCATTTCCCCCCTAAAAGGGCCTAAAGGGGTGAGCATCCCCCATCTGCTCCTTCCCTCATCCCGCACATCCCGGTCCTGCGCATCCCCATCCATCAGCATCCCAATCCCGCTCATCCCAACCCTGCAGCTTCCCTCATCGCGCCCATCGCACCCCGCACATCCCATCCCATCCCACCCCATCCCATCCCATCCATCCCATCCCATCCCATCCCACCCCATCCCATCCATCCCATCCCATCCCATCCCATCCATCCCATCCCATCCATCCCATCCATCCCATCCCACCCCATCCATCCCCATCCCATCCATCCCATCCCATCCATCCCACCCCATCCCACCCCATCCCATCCCATCCCATCCATCCCCACCCCATCCCACCCCATCCCACCCATCTCATCCCATCCATCCCATCCCACCCCATCCCATCCATCCCATCCAACCCATCCCATCCATCCCATCCCATCCCATCCATCCCATCCCATCCCATCCCATCCATCCCATCCCATCCCATCCATCCCATCCCATCCATCCCACCCCATCCCATCCCATCCATCCCGGTTCCTCGTATCCCGATCCCGCACACCCCGGTGCGGTGCTCGCGGCTCTCTGCCTCTCTCTAGTGGCTCCTTCCCGCAGAGCCAGGATCGGGATCGGGATCGGGACAGGGAGGGAAGGACGGGATAAAGGGGGAAAGGAGGGAGGGGAGGAGGGATGAAGGGGAGGGATGGATGGGGATGGGATGCAGGGGATGGAGAGGAAGGAAGGAGGGAGGGATGGATGGGGATGGGATTGAGGGATGAAGAGGATGGGATGGAAGGATGGATAAGGGATGGGATGGAGGGATGAAGGGGAAGAAGAAGGAAGGAATAAAGGGAAGCAATGGAGGAGTGAAGGGGATGGATAGAATGGAGGGATGAAGGGGATGGGAGGGAAGGATGGGCAGGGGATGGGATGGAGGGATGAAGGGGAGGAAGAAGGAAGGAATAAAGGGAAGCAATGGAGGGATGAAGGGGATGGGATGGAAGGCTGGAGAGGGGATAGGATGGAGGGAAGGCCGGAGAGCAGGAAAGGAAAGAAGGAGGGATGAAGGGAAGGGATGGGATGGAGGGACAAAGGGGAGGAAGAAGGAAGGAATGAAAGGAAGGAGCAATGAAAAGGATGGAGGGATGAAGTGGATGGAAGGATGCGGATGGGATGGAGGGATGAAGGGGATGGGGTGGAAGGATGGATAGGAGATGGGATGGAGGCAAGACTGCAGGACAGGAAGGAAAGGAGGGATGAAGGGAAGGCATGGATGCGGATGGGATGAAGGAGAGAAAGAAGGAAAGGAAGCAATGGAGGGGATGGGATGAAGGAGGCTTCACTCCCAGATCCACCAGCGATTCCCATTGGGAACATGAACGGGAGCCACCGTGGCCAGGCTCCAACTGCACTAAATACAACCCCCCCCCCCCCAAACCCACCCCCGGGCACCCCCAATGACAACACCAAGGATGGGGTCCCTCAGGACACGTTTATTACCGGGGGAGGGGGCACACATACGGTGCCCCCTCCCAGTTTCCACCTGGTGAGGGTGAGCAAAGCACCTTAGAAAGGGCTTAAATCGCCCAAACCCCCCAAAACAGCCCAAAAAGGGTGTGTGTATTTGAAGGGAAACAGAGCCCGGAAGCTCCCTTAGTGTTGAAGTGGGGCTGAGCATGGGGAAACTGAGGCACAGGACCCCCCCCCATGCCCTAAAGGTGCCCAAAAGCAGCTTCCAAGTGGGAAAACCAAGGCATGGAGCCATGAAATCCCAAGTCCCTCATCCCAATCCTGCTCTCAGTGGGGAAACTGAGGCACAGAGCCCTCCTCCATCCCCTAAAGATGCCCTAAAGCAGCTTCCAAGTAGGAAAACCAAAGCATGGAGCCATGAAATCCCAATTCCTGCATCCCAGCCGTGCTCTCAATGGGAAAACCAAGGGATGGAGCCATCCTCCATCACCTAAAGATGCCCTAAATCAGCTTCCAAGTAGGAAAACCAAGGCATGGACCCATGAAATCCCAACTCCTGCATCCCAGCCTTGATCTCATTGGGGCCACTGCGGCACAGAGCCATCCTCCATCCCCTAAAGATGACTTAAACCAGCTTCCAAGTGGGAAAGCTTGAGGCAAAGCACCATTAAAACCCAATTCCTACATCCCAATCCTGCTCTCAGTGGGGAAACTGAGGCACGGAGCCCTCCTCCATCCCCTAAAGATGCCCTAAATCAGCTTCCAAGTGGGAAAACCAAGGCATGGAGCCATGAAATCCCAATTCCTGCATCCCAGCCGTGCTCTCAATGGGAAAACCAAGGGATGGAGCCATCCTCCATCACCTAAAGATGCTCTAAATCAGCTTCCAAGTAGGAAAACCAAAGCATGGACCCGTGAAATCCCAACTCCTGCATCCCAGCCTTGATCTCATTGGGGCCGGTGCAGCACAGAGCCATCCTCCATCCCCTAAAGATGACTTAAACCAGCTTCCAAGTGGGAAAGCTTGAGGCAAAGCACCATTAAAACCCAATTCTTACATCCCAATCCTGCTCTCAGTGGGGAAACTGAGGCACGGAGCTATTCTCTATCACCTAAAGATGCCCTAAACCAGCTTCCAAGTGGGAAAACCCAAGGCATGGAGCCATGAAATCCCAATTCCCACATCCCAGCCCAGCTCTCAGTGGGGAAACTGAGGCACAGAGCCCTCCTCCATCCCCTAAAGATGCCCTAAAGCAGCTTCCAAGTAGGAAAACCAAGGCATGGAGCCATGAAATCCCAATTCCCACATCCCAGCCTTGCTCTCAATGGGAAAACCAAGGGATGGAGCCATCCCCCATCACCTAAAGATGCCCTAAATCAGCTTCCAAGTAGGAAAACCAAGGCATGGACCCATGAAATCCCAACTCCTGCATCCCAGCCTTGATCTCATTGGGGCCACTGCGGCACAGAGCCACCCTCCATCCCCTAGAGATGACTTAAACCAGCTTCCAAGTGGGAAAGCTTGAGGCAAAGCACCATTAAAACCCAATTCCTACATCCCAATCCTGCTCTCAGTGGGGAAACTGAGGCACGGAGCTATTCTCTATCACCTAAAGATGCCCTAAACCAGCTTCCAAGTGGGAAAACCGAGGAATGGAGCCATGAAATCCCAGTTCCTGCATCCCAGCCTTGCTCTCAGTGGGGAAACTGAGGCACGGAGCCATCCTCCATCACCTAAAGATGCTCTAAATCAGCTTCCAAGTAGGAAAACCAAGGCATGGAGCCATGAAATCCCAGTTCCTGCATCCCAGCCCTGCTCTCAAAGGGAAAACCAAGGGATGGAGCCATCCCCCATCACCTAAAGATGCCCTAAATCAGCTTCCAAGTGGGAAAACCAAGGCATGGACCCATGAAATCCCAAGTCCCTCATCCCAATCCTGCTCTCAGTGGGGAAACTGAGGCACAGAGCCCTCCTCCATCCCCTAAAGATGCCCTAAAGCAGCTTCCAAGTAGGAAAACCAAAGCATGGAGCCATGAAATCCCAATTCCTGCATCCCAGCCGTGCTCTCAATGGGAAAACCAAGGGATGGAGCCATCCTCCATCACCTAAAGATGCTCTAAATCAGCTTCCAAGTAGGAAAACCAAAGCATGGACCCGTGAAATCCCAACTCCTGCATCCCAGCCTTGATCTCATTGGGGCCACTGCGGCACAGAGCCATCCTCCATCCCCTAAAGATGACTTAAACCAGCTTCCAAGTGGGAAAGCTTGAGGCAAAGCACCATTAAAACCCAATTCCTATATCCTAATCCTGCTCTCAGTGGGGAAAGTGAGGCAAGGAGCTATTCTCTATCACCTAAAGATGCCCTAAACCAGCTTCCAAGTAGGAAAACCGAGGCATGGAGCCATTAAATCCCAGTTCCCACATCCCAGTCCTGCTCTCAATGGGAAAACCAAGGCACGGAGCCATCCCCCATCACCTAAAGATGCTCTAAATCAGCTTCCAAGTAGGAAAACCAAGGCATGGACCCATGAAATCCCAACTCCTGCATCCCAGCCTTGATCTCATTGGGGCCACTGCGGCACAGAGCCATCCTCCACCCCCTAAAGATGACTTAAACCAGCTTCCAAGTGGGAAAACTTGAGACAAAGCACCATTAAAACCCAAATCCTACATCCCAATCCTGCTCTCAGTGGGGAAACTGAGGCACGGAGCTATTCTCTATCACCTAAAGATACCCTAAACCAGCTTCCAAGTAGGAAAACCAAGGCATGGAGCCATGAAATCCCAATTCCCACATCCCAGCCTTGCTCTCAGTGGGGAAACCGAGGCACAGAGCCCTCCTCCATCCCCTAAAGATGACTTAAACCAGCTTCCAAGTGGGAAAACTTGAGGCAAAGCACCATTAAAACCCAAATCCTACATCCCAATCCTGCTCTCAGTGGGGAAACTGAGGCACGGAGCCCTCCTCCATCCCCTAAAGATGCCCTAAACCAGCTTCCAAGTGGGAAAACCGAGGCATGGAGCCATGAAATCCCAGTTCCCACATCCCAGCCTTGCTCTCAATGGGAAAACCAAGGGATGGAGTCATTCTCCATCCCCTAAAGATGCCCTAAACCAGCTTCCAAGTAGGAAAACCGAGGCATGGAACCATTAAATCCCAGTTCCCACACCCCAGCCGTGCTCTCAATGGGAAAACCAAGGCACGGAGCCATCCCCCATCACCTAAAGATGCCCTAAATCAGCTTCCAAGTAGGAAAACCAAGGCATGGAGCCATGAAATCCCAGTTCCCGCATCCCAGCCGTGCTCTCAATGGGAAAACCAAGGCACGGAGCCATCCCCCATCACCTAAAGATGCCCTAAACCAGCTTCCAAGTAGGAAAACCGAGGCATGGAGCCATGAAATCCCAATTCCCACATCCCAGCCTTGCTCTCAGTGGGGAAACCGAGGCACGGAGCCCTCCTCCATCCCCTAAAGATGCCCTAAATCAGCTTCCAAGTAGGAAAACCGAGGCATGGAGCCATGAAATCCCAATTCCCACATCCCAGCCTTGCTCTCAATGGGGAAACTGAGGCACGGAGCCATTCCCCCATCACCTAAAGATGCCCTAAACCAGCTTCCAAGTAGGAAAACCGAGGCATGGAGCCATGAAATCCCAATTCCCACATCCCAGCCCTGCTCTCAATGGGAAAACCAAGGCACGGAGCCATCCCCTAAAGATGCCCTAAGCCAGTTTCCCAGTGGGAATCTGAGCCCCGGAGCCATTAAACCCCACCTCCCGCATCCCGATCCTGCTCTCCTTGGGTTCACTGCACCCCGGGGCCCCCCCCCCCCCCCCCAACCCCTACCCCTGCCCCAAAGCCTCTCCCAAGCCGTCCCCCCCCATCCCGGTGCTTTTCCCTCCTCTTCCCTCTCCCTCTTCCCCTTCCTCCCCGCTCACCCCCAGCACCTCCAGCACCCCCAGCTCCCGCAGGCGGCTCAGCACCATCCCTTCCCATTCCCGGTTGGCGCGGGGGTTCCGGGGGGAGGGATGGGGCAAGCCCTCCACCCTGACCCCATCCCCATCCCCGTTACCCGCAAGGCCGGCGGCGGCCAGGGCCCGGCGCGCTCGGTGCTCGGTGAAGCGGCCCAAGGCCAGCACCAGGCGGGCGCTCAGCACCCGCACGGCCGCGACCAGCGCCCGGTCGCAGAGCTCCAGTAACGGGGTCCGGTGCTGGGGGGGGAGGTCGCTGGGGGGGACGTTGCGCCCGGAGGCGCTGAGGAAGAGGAGGGGGCAGTGGTTGTGGACGAAGCAGTGGGTGAAGAAGCGCTGGGGTTGCGGGCACAGGCGCCGGATGAGGCCCCAGAAGCGGGCGCCGCTCACCTCGGAGCGGGTGCAGCTCAGCCCCAGCACCGGGCGCTTGGGGTGCTCCGGGTGCGGGCGCTGCACCCCACCCCGCACCTGCAGCCAGTCCCGCACGGCCCGCACCTCGCCGAAGGGGACCTGTGGGGCAGGAAGAGAGCGGTCAACGGGGGGTGGCATTGGGAATGGGGGGCGGGAATGGGGAGGGAGCCGCTGGGAATGGGGAGGGATCCATTGGGAATGGGGTGGGAGCCGTTGGGAATTGGGGTGGGAGCCGTTGGGAATGGGGGTGGGAATGGGGAGGGAGCCATTGGGAATGGGGAGGGAGCCATTGGGAATGGGGGCGGGAATGGGGTGGGATCCATTGGGAATGGGGAGGGATCCATTAGGAATGGGGGCAGGAATGGGGAAGGATCCATTGGGAATGGGGTGGGAGCCGTTGGGAATGGGGGTGGGAATGGGGAAGGATCCACTGGGAATGGGGGGCGGGAATGGGGAGGGATCCACTGGGAATGGGGGTGGGAATGGGGAGGGAGCCATTGGGAATGGGGTGGGAATGGGGAGGGAGCCACTGGGAATGGGGAAGGATCCATTGGGAATGGGGGCAGGAATGGGAAGGGATCCATTGGGAATGGGGAGGGATCCATTAGGAATGGGGGCAGAACTGGGGAAGGATCCATTGGGAATGGGGTGGGAGCCGTTGGGAATGGGGGTGGGAATGGGGAAGGATCCACTGGGAATGGGGGGCGGGAATGGGGAGGGATCCACTGGGAATGGGGGTGGGAATGGGGAGGGAGCCATTGGGAATGGGGTGGGATCCATTAGGAATGGGGGCAGGACTGGGGAAGGATCCATTGGGAATGGGGGCAGGAATGGGGAGGGAATCTATTGGGAATGGGGACAGGAATGGGGAGGGATCCACTGGGAATGGGGCAGGAATGGGGAAGGATCCATTGGGAATGAGGAGGGGATCCACTGCGAATGGGGAGAGACCCACTGGGAATGGGGGCAGGAATGGGAAGGGATCCATTGGGAATGGGGAGGGATCCATTGGGAATGGGGGCAGGGGGCCTGAGCTGCTCCTGTGCCTCAGTTCACCTGCACTTGGGGGGGGGGAAGAGGAATTGGGGCACATCCAGGCATCCCCTGCATCACTGCCCCCCACAGGGATGCCCTGGGCCCCCCAGTAAGGATGAACTGGTCCCATTCCTATGCCCTGGCCCCCCCCCCCATGTCCCAGTCCCCCCCATAGGGATGCACTGGGACCCCCATAAGGATGTGTTGTGTCCCTCCCCATAGGAATGCCCTGTTTCCTCCCCATAGGGATGCCCTGGCTCATCATAGGGATGACCTGGTCCATCCCCCATAGGGATGCGCTGTGCCCACCCCTCCCCCCCATGTCTCAGTTTCCCCATAGGGATGCCCTGTTTCCCCCCCATAGGGATGTCCTGGCTCCCCCATAGGAATGCTCTGGCCCCCCATAGGGATGTGCTATGCCCCCCCCCTAGGGATGCCCTGGCCCCCCATAGGAATGCTCTGGCCCCCCATAGGGATGTGCTATGCCCCCCCCCCAGGGATGCCCTGGCCCCCCATAGGGATGCTCTGGCCCCCCATAGGGATGTGCTGTGCCCCCCCCATAGGGATGCCCTGGCTCCCCCATAGGGATGTGCTGTGCCCCCCCCCCATAGGGATGCCCTGTTTCCCCGTAAGGATGCCCTGGCTCCCCCATAGGGATGCCCTGTTTCCCCATAGGGATGCTCTGTTTCCCCCCCATAGGGATGCCCTGTTTCCCCCCCATAGGGATGCCCTGGCTCCCCCACAGGAATGCTCTGGCCCCCCATAGGGATGTGCTGTGCCCCCCCCATAGGGATGCCCTGGCTCCCCCATAGGGATGCCCTGGCCCCCCATAGGGATGCCCTGTTTCCCCATAAGGATGCCCTGTTTCCCCCCCATAGGGATGCCCTGGTTCCCCATAGGGATGTGCTGTGCCCCCCCATAGGGATGCCCCGGTTCCCCATAGGGATGCCCTGGTTCCCCATAGGGATGTGCTGTGCCCCCCCATAGGGATGCCCTGGTTCTCCCCCCCATAGGGATGCCCTGTTTCCCCCCCATAGGGATGCCCTGTTTCCCCATAGGGATGCCCTGGCTCCCCATAGGGATGCTCTGTTTCCCCATAGGGATGCCCTGGTTCCCCCCCATAGGAATGCTCTGGCCCCCCATAGGGATGCCCTGTTTCCCCATAGGGATGCCCTGGCTCCCCATAGGGATGCCCTGTTTCCCCATAGGGATGCCCTGGTCCCCCCCATAGGGATGCCCTGGCTCCCCATAGGGATGCCCTGGTTCCCCATAGGGATGCCCTGTTCCCCCCATAGGGATGCCCTGTTCCCCCCATAGGGATGCCCTGGCTCCCCATAGGGATGCCCTGTTTCCCCATAGGGATGCCCTGTTTCCCCATAGGGATGTGCTGTGCCCCCCCCATAGGGATGCCCTGGTTCCCCCCATAGGGATGCCCTGGCTCCCCATAGGGATGCCCTGTTTCCCCCCCATAGGGATGCCCTGGCTCCCCATAGGGATGCCCTGTTTCCCCATAGGGATGCCCTGTTTCCCCATAGGGATGTGCTGTGCCCCCCCCATAGGGATGCCCTGGTTCCCCCCATAGGGATGCCCTGGCCCCCATAGGGATGCCCTGTTTCCCCCCCATAGGGATGCCCTGTTTCCCCATAGGGATGCCCTGTTTCCCCATAGGGATGCCCTGGTTCCCCATAGGGATGCCCCCCCCCGCGCACCCCGGTCTGGGCCATGCCGAAGGGCCCCGGGTTCATGCCCACGAACAGGACGCTCTTGGGCCCGCGGCAGAAGGCGCGCACGAAGCGGCAGTGCGGCTCCCAGGCGTACTCGAGCGGGCGGTAAACGTGGGTGACGGCGGGGCCCGGCGGCGGCAGCGCCCGCAGCCACCGGCTCTGCTGCCGCTCCAGCAGCAGGAACCGCTCGGCCACGGACCCGCACTCATCCGGTTCCGGTTCCACTTCGGGTTCCGGTCCCAATTCCGCTTCCGGTCCTAGTCCCGGTTCAAGCCTCACTTCCGGTTCCGG